TCAGAGAAGCAACCTTGGGACTTGTGCAGTCTTCAGAGGAGGATAACAGCCAAAGTAGAGGCATTTTGTGCATGGTAGTGACTTTCCGAGCAGAGCCGAGCGCGCATTGCATTGGGCCCTCTTCCCGAGACTGTTTACTGCTTTCATTAGATTAGTTAATTTGTTAATTAATTAATGGGTCTGTAATATTTAATTAGCTTGTAGGTTAATTAACTTGTATTATTCTTTCGGTCCATCCGAGAGAGGGCTAACTTGTAATAAGTGTGGGTGTGTGCGTGCATGTCTTCCAACCCCCACTTCTTTCTCCCTTTTACTTACCTGCTTTCAATGGTTAGTATTAGGGCATATTTAAATTAGCATACCTTATGCTACGCATGCGTGTATCCATACATTTGTCTTGCATACACCGGGCTCGGCGCATCATACTAACTGCATTGTATTTCAATTCTAAGTTGAATACGTGTTAGTTGTAGTATCATCATATGCCATCTTAGAATAGCCGAGCCTATTGTAGTTGCATCTTGCATGTGTTGCATTAGCCATCTTAACATGAACTAGGATCATGCTTATGATTACTAACTAGTTTCTGTTTTGGCTCGGAGTACTAGGTGAGCATTTATGCTTTAGCATCTCGCATGAGTGTGAATGTTAACATGACAGCATGCTTACCATGTGGCTAAATGCTTATGTGATATAACTGTTTGAGTGCCTGTGGATGGAGGTTGAATTACCTAAATTGGAAATAATGCATTAAAACTGTGAGTTTTTAAGCCCACTAGATAGTGGCAAAACCATCTTTTCTAAAGCCCACTTGAGGGTGGCAAAACCTGCATTTTAGCCTACTTGCGAGTAGCAAACCATTTTCAAAACAAGCATGCAATGTTTTGTTCCAATTTAGGCGATTTGGTCTATACTTGTTTGCTGTGCGCATAACATAGTAACTCTAGGTTAATAACCGGATAAGAACACGTAACGTTTTCAAAATTGGATATCATGGTTAGTATAGGCCGATCTTTGATCGGGCGAGCGGGGGTGCTCATAGATGACCTTCCCCAATCGTACCCAAGTTCCCGAGCCGAGGTAACTTTGGTGATGACGGACACGTGACCCTAGGCAAACGAGTCAGGGTTTCCTAAATTCCCCCAAAATAAAATATTTAGGTGGCGACTCTGTATCTGGAAAAGCAGTCCATATTTGGCACTTCTTTTCTAAAAATCTGTTTCTCAAAACGATTTGCCGGATTTGAACTCTTTGGTTCAAATTAAGAACCATGACAATTTGAGAGTCCGAACTGTAGTGAACCCAATAACGAACAGAGCGGGACTCGTCCTCCCGGGGCGTTCGAGGACGTCTACAGAAGGCGTCATTTGGGAATGTGTGTGGAGGAAGATGAGGCAAAGCGCATCATAGAAATTGTCAATGGAGGGGAATGCGGGGCTCATATAAATGGTATAATGTTGGCAACAAAGATTCTCAAACATGGATATTATTGGTTGACCATGGAAAGTGATTGTGTTAGTTTTGTCCAGCGATGCCACAAGTGTTAGATTCATGCCAATCACATGAATATTCCGCCATCAAAATTGTACAACATGACTTTGCCGTGGCCTTTTTGAGTTTGGAGAATTGACGTCATTGGGGAAATAACACCAAAAGGATCAAATGGTCATGAATTTATCCTAGTGGCGATCAATTACTTTACCAAAGTACAATCGTATTCGATGTTGAAGGCATCGCACATGGCCAAGTTTATTAGAAACAACATCATCTGTAGGTATGAGGTTGCAAATGAGATTGTTTTGGATAACGGTTCGCACTTCAAAAGAGAAGTGATTGATCTACTCGAAAAATATAATGTGGCCTCCCACAAGTCATCAACCTATAGGCCACAGACCAATGAAGCCGTTGAAGCAGCAAACAAGAACATCAAGAATATCCTACAAAAGATGGCAAAAACTTACAAGGATTGGCCAGATAAACTTCCTTTTGCATTATGGAGCTACAGGACATCGATTTGAACGTCTACTGGGGCAACTCCTTACTCCCTAGTCTATGGGATGAAGGTAGTATTACCAATTGAGATAGAGGTACCTTTGCTAAGGATCAAGTGTTAGATGGCAGAGGCTGATTGGCAACAGAATCAATTTGAAGAGTTAGTGGTATTTGATGAAAGAAGATTGAAGGCACTATACCATGTGCAAGGGTACCAACACGAGATTTCCCGGGTATTCAACAAGTAGGTTAAGTCCAGAAATCTGAGTGAGGGAGATCTAGTGCTAAAAGATAATCAGGCTCCAATTTATGATCCTAAGGGCAAGCTCAAACCTAATTGGATTGGCTCTTACATCATCAAGTCAATTTGGTCAAGAGGAGTGGTTGTTCTGATGGATCTGGATGGACTGGAGTTCTCATAACCAATCAACATGGATAAGTTGAAGAAAAACTATCCCTAAGAGACTTGCTAGGCCAAAAACCCGAAAGAGTGACCTAGAAAAAACTTAGAGAATGAAAAAGTGAAAAATGAAAAACAAGAGGTCGTAGGACTAAAAACCCAAAAGGGCGGCTCTGGCAAATATTAGAGCTCAAAAGGGGAGTGTTAACACCCGAGTGAACCTTAACTTTGAACTACGTAATGCTTGATTCCCACCATTGGGATATGTAGGCAACTTCATCCCGAAGTTCGACCTTAACCATTTTCGACTCAGTTGCCCTGTCCAAGATTGATTAATTTATATTTCTCAAAAATCCAGATTCGATCATGTAGACCTGCTTTTTTGTGATAAATATAGTTGCAAGGGAGATCCGATTGGTAATAGTGGCAAGAGTGTAGTGAGTTTTGTCCAAGGAGTTGATTCGAGGTTTTGTATCTTCGACGGTAGATGTCTAGTATGTTAAAAAGTGGCCATTTGCAAAAACATGTTTTGGTTTTTAACAAAATTGACTGATTTTCTCAAACATCTCTCTGCAAAATGAACCTTTCATCAGACTTGAGAAAAAGCTTTTCAACACCCACAATCATTCTTACATGATTTTAAAACAAAAGTGGAACAAGCATACTTATCTTACTCTCATACTGATTAAAGCATTTTTGCATCATAAAGCTAAGGGCAAAGCAATACATTAGAGGCATAGTCAAGTCAAGTCCATGTCCCTCTCCCTGTAGCATCAGAAGATTCCACTACTAAGGATGTGCCCACATGTGCCTCCTTCTCAAGCTAAAGCATATATTCACTAGAAAGGACATGACTAAAGTCATCAGTAAGAGCCAAGAGTTCCCTTATCCTCCAAGCAGTTGCATACCGAAAGAAGTGCCTAGTCCGAAGTGAAAATGAAGTTGGGTATTCGATCCCATCGGTGGGGTGAATCTAATTGTGTCCAAACTGTTGTCTGAATCGGAGAGGGAAGTAGAAGACGCAATGTGTCAGGCCGATCAATTGTACACCCAGTTGACAAAATATACTAAACGTCATTGGAGGCAAGTCTAACCAGGGGCAGCACCAAGCAATGTTTGTTGCAGACCTGCTACACATCCAGTCACACTAGAAGGAAAATCTACTATCTGAGCCCAGAACTAGCTGAGTACCGAGCACACGAAACCACTATTTTAGTTTATCCATCAACCATACTTGGGGAGGAATGAAAAATAAAAAAGATTAAAGAATAGAGAGACGTACGTTGAGTAGAAAAAAGTAAGAAAGGGTTTTGAGAGAATGTATCGAGTGGAGAGGGCCAGAGTGATGTAAGAAACATAGAGTAAGCAAGGTTGGGAAATAGTACCTGAAGGAGTAATGGACTTCCTGCAAACTGGGAGGTCTCTCGTCTATAAAATGCGTCTAAGCCCATCAAAGTCTCAACTAACGTTAAGTCCATACAACTCTGAGCCTCCTGGAGTCATTGGGCCACCTTGGCGAGCCTGATGCTTGCCCTATCACCACTAGGGGCAACCAAGTAATGTGAAAGTAGACACATGCAGAGCGCATGTTGACGATGCCTCGCCAAACAGGGTTATTCCTATCTACAACAACAAAGCATAAACGAATCAATCTGAACATGTCCAAACCCTCACCAAGAGCCAAGGATTGAGCCTCATTTGGAGTTAGACCACACATTCGGGGCTATGGCTTGAGCATGGCTGAAATTGGGTTGAGATATGATTGCTTCGTCTCGAGAAAGCTCCATTAATGCCTGAAATTTCTCAATAGTTGAACAGAGCTCTTGCATACCAAAGTGGAATACATAGATGATCGGGTCCCAACAACGAACTACTGCTTTGAGGAAAGGAAAATGGAGTGGGGTCCGACTCAGAGGAAAAGGAGCATTTAGGTCGAATCTTGCGAAATTCACTTTATCGGTGTCGTCCAAAGAGGTTATCCAATCTTGGATCCTAACTATAGGTGGAGCCTTTATTTTCAAAAGAAACTTCTCAATTTTTCCGTTTCTGGGCAAAAAAGCAATCGTAAGCACCTTTTAAAGGGATAAGGTCGCATGAGTGCTTGACAGCTGTATCCTATTATTTGGTTGGAACCATTGACCGACCGGCCACTTTTGGCTCGGTCGAACAAATTTGTAGTCGGCCGACCCTCAGAATTGCAAAAATAGTATGGTTTTGTAGTTTAGCTTGTAGATTTTGTTTCAAGTTTTATTTTGAGTCTTTTCTATTCCTATAGGTGCAAGTGGGTATATTTATGTTGTTTTTGCTGTGTTATGCATTTATCGAGTTGTATTTTTTGTTTTGGCCAGTCGTAGGCTTGATATCAGATTCAAAACTCATCCAAATACAATCATTCTCAATTTCAGAATCAAAATAAAATTGTTTTGTGCTCAAGTTTGGTGTCGTGAACGTTTAGATATTTGAGATGGTCCAAAAACAAAAGTGTTCATTTCTTCCCATTCAAAAGTGTTGCAAAAGTTTTTACAAAAACTTATTTGAAGCTATACATTATTTTTCGAACTACAAAGCAAAAGAAATATACAAAAAGAGAAATATAAAAAGAAGAGAATCAGGGTCGGCTCGCCCTCTTCATCCTCTTCACCGGTGGAACCCCAATGTCGTCCCCATCAGCACGACTGCCCTTAACCTTAGTGACTGCCTCAACCTCAGCCTCGACTACTATCTCACCCTCAGCCTCATCTCTTTCATCTCTATTAGAGCCACTACCGCTCTCATTGCCACTGGCATCATCTTCGTAGTCATCCTCATTAGAGCCACTACCTGTCTCATTGCCCTCCTCCTCATCATCATCATCTCCACCAGCGTCACTGCCCTCCAAGTGCTCAATATCAATGCTCGCATCCCCCTCACTATCCTCAGATGTCTCATCAGTGACGAGGTCTTCCTCCCTAGAAGTAGTAGGAGTCCTCTCCGAGAAGGAAAAGCTCTCTATTACTTGGTCACCGCTGCCTCTGCCTCTGCCTCTATTGGAGGCACCCTCGCCAAGGCCATCGTCATCACCACTAGCCCTACTGCTGAAAATGTTGCTACTAGTAGAAGAGTAAGCAAGAGGGCCATCAAGCACATCATCATCATCATCATCATCATCAGCATCAGCATCATCACTGACAATCACCTTAGGCAAAGCAACTTCGTCCTGCAAAAGAAGAAATGACAGTGAACAATGGAAACCATTCAGAAAGAAATGATCAATTTCAAGTAACCGAACCTCGTCGTGGATGTCTGGAATATGTGGAGGCATTGAAACTAATGTCAAAGGGCCACGTCCTCATCCTCGCCGGCCTTGGATCCCTAGACCATGTCGCTCATGAGAAGTCTATCAGGGACCATGATAATGTCTTCACCCACGCACCCACGCGCCCAAGCTTGCACGAGTTCATCATCTGTCGCCTGCCTACAACTGTTAGAACCCCTATAAGGTAGTCCTAACCCATGCCTTCTCTCATGGGTAATGATATAAGCAAGCTCTGGGTCAATGCCATCAGTCATGGCCATGACAAGAGCTTCTGCCACCGTGTTCCGGAGGAAGTATCACTGTTTGTGGGTGTATTCGGTTCATTAAAACCAATGGGTGAGTTGGGAGAAAATGGAAGGAGGTGATCATCAGCTATAGGTAATGATTAGAAAGAGTTTTAGAGGACTGGAGAGTTATTTTCGAATAGGAAGGAATGGAAGTTAGACGGTCGCACCTTTTTATAAGCTTTCAAAACTATGAAATGACTATTCTGACCCTGTAAAATTCTAATAGGACTGGTTGACCACTCCTTCATTTGGGCGGCCAGTTTTCGGCCAGCCAAATGATCATCAGTAGTAAGTTAAAGAAAAAATGTTTAGAAGTATTCAGTGGTTACTCAATAGTGTGTGGATGTCATCCCTATTCGTTCTAAGGTATGTTTGTTCAGCAATCCCCGAGGAGATGAGGGCTTGTCTCTATTTTTGTCATGTTTTTCCTACATTTGCCTCAACGGCATAATGCTTCTATTGTTGCCATCGCTCCCCACACATGCAAAGTATGTAAGGCATGAACCCTCGATTAATACCACCACTTGCGGAGTTGGTGGTCAACACCACCCTTAGTTAATACCGCCCCCAACGAGGTTGGCGATTAACATCACTATCGGTTAATACCACCCCCTGCATAGGTTGGTAGTTAACACCATCTTTTCACCTTTCATGTTGCGGCATGTTTGGAGTATGTTGTGGAGTTCCTTATTGCTATGATTGTAAGTCACATTTGGTTACGGCCATCCTTTTCTCTTTCCTTCCTGTGCTACGACACAGGTAGGTGTTGCCTTTCTTTTACTCATATGGAGCATGCTTATATGTGTTGTGCGTTGCCCTTCATATTTTTCGCAGTTGTTAGCTCACTCTGTGTCATTTGCAAGAGGCCATCCTATTTCTTTAGCCATCTTTGTAACTTTCTCATTTGTTCCACTCCATCACCCTCCACAGTACTTGCGTCATCAGGTTTTCAAAACTTCGGTAGTGTGGTACATGTAAGCCCAATTATCAAATTATGGCAGCGCACGCCACGTAAGCCTAACCTTTTCAAATGTGTTTCAAGCATAGCGTTTGCATTTTGTCTCTAAACTATTCTAGTTTGATGCTTTACAAAAAGATACGTAGGAAACCCTTCAGTTCAACCAAATTTTATTTGCATTTTGTTTGTTTTGCCCAAGTCTTACGGCCTCGTGGTCGTTTTCGGGCTTTGACATTCACTTATGTCATGAAATGACACACCGAGCTCTGTCAAAAGGGTAAAATTCTCTAAAATACTTGTTTCTCCTTTAATTCAGACTAACCTTCTCTTGTTGATCTAATGATGTGCCCACTGACTAGTTGAACACCATGTAGTGGCCGGCTACAAAAGCACTCGGTCGATCACCAAGAGGTGCGATCTGCAGACTGTTCCGGGTATAGAGCATTTTCGGGAATTTTAGCTTGTTTTGCTCACTTGCCACAAATATCTCAGATATTTACATCCTGAGCTCTATATAGAGCTTGACAACTCATTTGAAAGGGTTGAAAAACTTACCCAAGGCATATACAAGCTTGGGAGCCCCTTATTCTTCCTCTCTTTACTTTCCTCCTACCATCTCACCCTTTTAACATTAAACACTCCATTAAAACTTGATCATAAGCTTTAGACAAAAGACTTTGGACATTAAATAACATATCTAAAGGCTCTTGAGGGGACTACAAAGGAAGTTGGTGAACAAAGAGGCATATCCTCTTTAAGAGGTGAATCTTTTTCATCCTTGATCATATTTTTCTTACTTTTTCTCCAGTTCTAGCTTCATTTCAACTATGTGATTGTTATAATTCCTCATGGATGTAGAGGCAATAGCCTTAGCTACCCATCCATTCAGTTAATGACTTTATTTTCCTCATTTTCATGCCTTCCTTAGCTTTACGTTCATAGTTGTTATGTATTTTGGATCCTTGGGGATGTGATTAGGAGTAATTTTAGCCATCCATTCACAAATTCAATAAGTAAAGTATGTTTTTCTTGTTATTGCACTTCTCCTCTTCACTTATCCTATCTCTCAAAGTGCGTTAATCTGTGTGTTTTAACTCCTCACTCAATGATATTGAGTGTTAGAGGTTGTTCCATGGGATTTCTTGGGTGATCTATGGGATTTGATGTTGAGAAGTTGTGTCCTTACCACTTATTGAGTATTTTTGAAGTAAAATAAGAGATTTGGGTCAAAGGAAGTTGAAACATCCTTTCTCGATCATCTGTGAACATAGAAAAGGGTATAACTACCCTTGTTTTATGACTAGATGAGGAGTTTTCACTAAATTTGGTAAATCTCTTGTTTTAATAAGCCAAGCCTTCACCAACAAATGATTTAGATTAATCTGCACTCTCTATTTAATAGCATGGATTTGGGTACTAATTTACCCTTAATCAAAGAGAAGATACAGGTTCTTATCCATCTCTTGGGCTAGCATTTGTTTTGATTTTGACTCATTTACTCATTGATTAATTGCAAAATATATGTTGTATATATTTATCTTATCATTGTTGAGGGTTTTGGCTTATCCACCTCTTCCCTAAGTGATCTCTGTCAACAGAGGAGGTAAAAGAGATGAGCATCCACCAAAAAATGCACTTTTAGCCCCTGTCTTGGAGTTCTGCACTGGCATATCCCTCAGCCGAAAGAAGAACTTGGCCGACTACTTCCTAGTTCAGCCGGTTCACTGTGTGTCTAGCCAGCCATCTCCTCCCTTGAATAGAGCAGATAGTTTCTGGGGAATGCTCTCCTGGGTAGTTCTGGAATTTTTGGATTGTTTCTTTTCTTTATTTAGTATGATTTGTTAGATTCAGCGGTAGTTCGGCTGAATCGATTCATTATTGTAATAATCTCTCACCCTCTTTTTAATTTGAATTATTGTAATAATCTTCCAACCCCATGTCTTTGTAACCCTTTTATTTACATGCTTTCGATACCGCATCATGTTTTCTTTATCATGCATGTATATTGCATCCACTTTTCACGCATGCAGGTCCGATTCATATGCATTTGTGGAATTTCTTATCTTCAAAGATGAATACATGCGTAACCCTATGTCTTGAGATGACATCCATACTATTTCTTATTATCTGAACTCCTAGGCGCACATTGTGTATGTACTGCATTAGTAGTTTATATATAGGGTTATGCATATATGTATATATCTAAACATTTCTTGGGACCCATCTTGGAGTACTAGGTGAGAATTTTGAAGCTTTAGCATATTGCATGTGCATGTTCCTTACAATATTTGTTGCTATATCATGAGGCTATGTGCTTAAGTGAGACATCTGTTTGAATGCCAGTGGATGGAGGTTGTGTTGTTTATTTTGGAATCTAGACGATTCTTATGCTGTGGATTTTGTTCAAGAAATCATTTTCAAAAATGCATGAAATCAAAGCATAACCAAAATTAATGGCACAATCTATATTTGGATGCCTCAGATACTGATGGTAACATTATTAATAATCGAAACATGACTATACATTGATTTTAAAAATCACATCATGACTTTTGATCGAGTGAGTGTGGGGCTCAATTAATGACCTTCTCCTCTCATACCTAAGTTTCTGAACCGAGACACTTTGGTTATGACAAACAGTGGCCTTTGGCACGACTCACGGGTTTCCTAATTTCCCCAAAAGATTCGGCAGCAACTCTAAAATCTGGTGATGTAGTCCATTTCCGACAAGTGTTTTGTAATAAAAATGAACTTCCTATAAAAGTTGCCAGATTTGGACTCTCATTTTTTGTTTCACATTACATTAATGATATCATATCAGAGATTGGGAGTCTGAACTGTCAGGCACACTTGGTAACCCTAAAAAGCATCCCATACATTTATTTTTAAAATGCTTTCTTTGATAACCCTTGTTAGCCTCTACCTTTCACCAATCATCATCATTTCAATTTTCATCACCTGTCCTTTGGCCACATCGGCTCTTATTTAAAGCACATCTACTACAGGACCACCTCGACTTGTAACCTTCCTTCCCTACATTTTCCCCCAAGTCAACCTCTACCCCCACTCATAATCTCTCTTTTCAAATCTCACATTACCTCTACCTTTCCTCCTATATTATCCATTTGTTTGGCCCGTTTGAGAATAAACAGGTTGAATTGGTATAGATTCTCAAGTAAACTCGAACTTTGGTATAGATTCTCAAGTAAACTCAAACTTGACTTATATGAAATAATAAATAATTTATATATGATATATGTACAAATAATAACAAAAAAATGAACAAAAAAAACCTCTTACTTAGTATTTTTTGTAGTGTTTTTCGTATTATTATTATTGTTCACTTTTTATCTATCAAATGTTGAGATTATTAGGTTAAATCAATTGTTAGATTGCATGACCATAGCATATCTTAGCTATGAAAAATAAAAGGAAAAAAAAATTATATATATAGAAAATAATTCAAATTTGAAAAAATTTATGCATAGAGAATAATTGAAATTTGTAAAAGAAAATGAGCAAATATATCACATGTACTTGTATAAGCTAAGGAAACCAAAACTGACTTCATATGTACACCAAATCATTTGACTTCGTAATTAAAAACAAAACAATATCAAAATAATACATAACATAATCAATTTACTATATATATATTTTTTTTTATCAACAACAAAGAACCCTTTATTGATGATGGAAAACCTTACATAAAGGAATAGAACATCAACAAAAAAAGAGGGATGATGCAAGCCATCACATGGCAGCACCAAACCAGCAAGACCCTGCTGGTGAGAAACCAACAGAGACAGCAACCTAGTCCATATAGCAACCAATAAAATAGAGGCATGCAACCTAATCCAAATACAAACAAATCAAATATAGGCATGCATCCTAGTGCTAGCAGAGGCCAAAAACAGCAGCAGATCCCCAGCAGATTAGCAGATTAGCATCAAAATCAAATTAGCCGACCAGCCACACAGCAGCAGAAAAACCGATATAGAGTAGTAGATTAGCA